CACGATGGGGTGATGGGATTCCATAACACTCTAGGTACTGCAGGCCCTGTAAGCTGATGAGAAGTGAGGGAGAGCCCTCAGTTCTCTCATGCAATTGCTGAGATCTGGTCAAGATAACTTAGAGTGTTTCTCTTTTGTACAAATATTCACAATAAGCTGTACGAATTACTCGGTTGTATCTCTGAAGGGCGACTGTAGGGCGCATCCCTGGAACCCCACAGCTGACTATAGCGAGCTGGCAATCTATCATACTGAACAAATATATCAGATTAACAAAAGGTTAAGTAAATAAGTTCTCTCAGTCAGTTCTCTCTCTGCAAATTTTTTGTAGTTTTCTCAACCCCAGTAGAGCAGGCACTGCGGCCTTTGGGGCTGGGAGAGGAGACGGCGTAGCCTGATGCAAATAGCTTTTGCACCAAGGCACAAGCCACCCTGTAGTGCGCTCGCACTACAAGGTAACGCTGTTACAAAAGAAAGTTAAAATAGTGGATATAAGGACTGGGAAAGTAATAAGTACGACAGTAAACGATAAATCTGTATTAGATAGACAAGTATGACGAATAGGGCAGACGTATCACTATAGTAGCCGTCTAATAGAGAGAAGGAGGCCGGTGCGGTGTAGCATGGGTCGACCGTTCCCCGCGACTAGCGGCCCGTCGAGGGATCGCTAGCGGAAGGTCATGGACCGAAAGAGGGGGAGTACATTTTCGGAAGAGAAAACTTTGAAATAATTATAATCGAACTACCACTTGACTTAAAAGTTGCCGAAACGAGGAATTCGAGTCAAATTAGTCGTGACTTGTGAATAGGTACAGCTAGGAGTTCATTCAGAGGTCATTACACACCCTCTCCTACAATCATACCAATGGTCACTCCATAGAGAATGCTTAATGCTTTCACCAATGTTATATTCGAAGTATATCAATAAGAACTGACAGTCACTTTCACTATTCATACAACCCTCACTCACTTCACAACGAGCACGGCATTGCTGCCGTGATTGTAGGGGGTATTCACTACAGAAGGTGTGCAATCCGAGAGGCAGGAGACGAAGGTGTAGGATCCGTAGACAAGAAAGTTAAGGAAGTTAGTGGGGAAAAGGAAAAACTAAAATTAGCTAGAAAAGGGAAAGGAAAAGGGACGGGAAAGGCAGGGCGAGGAAATTTCAAGAAGTGACCAGGAAGTTTCAGCCGAGGGGGGAAGTTGTAGTGCATTGGCACTACAATGTAGGTATCTAGTGGGCAAAACGAGACTCAAATTGTAATAATTAGTTTAATTTAAGCAATAAAGCTTAAGTTAGTAAGCCAAAACGCAGGGTTACGGTAGTTAGCGGAGGATAGCCGACACTCGTTAGAGGCAGAGGCATAGTCACCGCGGAAACGCGGGTCGGCCGTACCCTCGCGGATCTAGCGACCGGCTGGCGGATCGCCAAGCTGCGGCGCAGGGATCGGGCTGAAATCCGACGAAAGAACTATTTTTGCTCCAATATTTGTTCGTGAAATCATTCGGATAACTAATAGAAACGGCTAGTTCTGCAGATCCAGCTTGTGACAGCCACGAACTGCTGCACCTTAGCGAATGCAGCGTGAGAGAGCTTGATGCACCAGGCATTACAATCAGCCTCACAGCCAACCCCCATCCATGGGTGGCTGCCGAGCATTCTTGGCTTGGTTATCTTAACTTTATGCCTAAACTAGTACAACTTCTCTCTATAAGTATTGTATTCTTTCTCTTACGGCGAACTAGGCCTCTGAACGTTCCACTTGAGATGCATTGTAGTGCCTGAGCACTACGCTACCGCAGGAGACCGTACCGTAGGTACGGTGGGCCATGGCGCCAACGTACTGTGTTCATCCTGGATGCCTACAATTGGCCGTTAACCTTAGATTTAGTGCAAGAGTTTGCAGTAAATGTAATTAGGTGAAAATATTTTAGTTTATTCGAGTAAGCTTCCGATTTCACCTAGCTCCACACCTTCCGTTTGCAACACACTCGCACCCACCACACGCGGTGACCATCTGGCGAGTGACAGCTGCTCCAGGAACAACTGGAAAGGTATGCCACATCTACGCAACTAGTGTAAGACCGCTCAATTAGTCACTAAAGTACACTGATTTCCTTCCTCAATATGAGTCAGCTCCTTTCCATTTCAACGTTGGGTTCGAGACTGCCAAAGGGTGCAGCTCATGCGGCAGAAGACGAACTGTTTTTCGATCGCGAAAATGGCATCATTCATAGTGAAACAACCGAAATTGCAGGAGTCGATGCTTCGATCGGAAGACTCCGCCGCAA